ATCCGACTCCCATTCGAAATGACCTTTCTCACTGTCTTTGTGTTTTCTAGGAACATTTTGGAGGGAGAAGAATCTCCCTCCCCAACTTTACCACGAAGAGGACAAAGCGGCCGTTCATCATACAAATCTCCGATGGTAAAAACTCTTTCGTTTTCTTTTTTACACATCTTAGGCTATTATTCTCGTATCGTAATTTACTGTTTTTCTGTTTTCAGACACGCCGAAAGATGCTCCTGGATCGCGCACGCGCGCACACACAGACATATCATCACTGTACACGAAGATATACACCGTTTAACCTTTACTCGAATTCTGGCACTCATGCACTTAGAGAACGAGGCGCATGACGTGTAATTCGACAAAATGAAGCACTCGCTTCCTATAAATGCAACCTCTGGGTCTTCGTCCCGGAAAGTGCAAATGCCAATTTTAAAGATTAAAAGACTTTAAATTGGCGGGCAAACGGTAATCACAATTTGCATGGATTAAATGGAATTTCAGACATTTGCATTAATAATCGTTTTGTGGTGAATTCTTCTATTAAATTGTGGAAATTTAGTATGGTTCAAGATCTTTGTGCTCATCGTATATTTAATCATACTCGCAATATGGCAATTGGTGATTTTTGTTTTGTTTATCGAAAGCACTAAGAGAGGTTCGTTTTTGGTTCGTTACGACATAGTAGACGCACTGGTAACAGGTTAGAAAGAGATAATTGCACTAAGAGAGGGCTTATATAATCTTAGCCATCCTTGATTTTTGAAGATCCACAATGTGGGTTGCCAGACTGTATAAGACGGGACTTGACACATCAGTACAAATTGTCCTGGGTTGCCCGTATTTTAACCCTAACAAAGTTCAGTATCATTAGGTCCCCTTTGCGAAATTGTATACTTGCATGTAAGATGATTAATGTGTAAACTTTACATTATGTAAAAACAACATTTATTCTATTGTTTCATTTATCCTTTAGCAGCTGATACAGAATATGCTTCCTTATATGATAAAGACAATATGGATTTGTAAGTTAGGTCATCCAAGAGGATGAAAAGATTTTCCTTTATCCAATTCCTATTTGCGTGAAAATTTATCTATTTGAGTTACCAGACTAAAAAACTCAATATGCAAATAAGTCATTATCTAAGTGCAAAACAACTTTCTGGAATGTATATAAATTAGCACTCGTGTTCGAATTCTGGTTTTTTAAACCTGAAAAAGGCCGAAAGTTCGGTCAAAAGAGTTTGTTTTCTATTAAATATTTACTACTGGACTTCTAAGGTTTATGAGTATTAATTTAAGTCACTTAAAGTGCAGCACCTTTATAATTTATTAGGATAATTATTATTGTCACATGCTTTAATTATCAAATTTCTTTGAAATGAAGTCATTTTGTAGGTATCTGATGAAAGATTTTGAGATAAATTGAAATATGAATTACAAATACTACTTAGTTACTTATGACTCGTGAACAGGCTATCACACACCTAGCCTATTTAATTAACTTATCCAAAATGCATTTTGGCCTTACTGACCCTTATCAATTGCATGACATACAAAAAACAATTCTACAGTAACAATTGCCAACATTACAAGATACGTTAATAGTACAATTATTACATATGTTAATTATATAATTATTTTTATTTTCATTTGGAAAATAAAAATCAAGAAAAGGCAATTGAACCAGCATACCCTACAAATGTGGTGGAGAGAAAAATAGAAAATTACAACTACAAAGAAGACAGGACTATTCACAAGGTTTTTAATGGACTTGTTTAGTATTGTTGTGTTACTGTCCTAGTGAATAATTTGGAATCTTATAAGGTGTATGTAATAATTTGTAATAATGTATTATAGACTGAATGTACACAAATAGAGAGAAAAGAACTAAACGTGAGGTTTGATTTGTCCTAAACAAATAAACAAACTATACTTGTATATTTGATGTTTGGAATAAATCACAATGGCATACTATCTACAGCACAAGGATTTTTCACATTTTATAAAAATGCTCTTAGTGACTTTTTGTTAAAGGAAGAGTTCATAATTACAATTTAAAATTGGCATATAATCAGCATGCATTTCAAATACAGATAACCCACAGGTAACATGCACAGAAATATGATGCATAAGTTTATGATTTTGCTGTTTAACTTTCTTTCACATATACCCTGTTCAGTGATAAAATATTAAATATAACAGGTTTGATATTTTATGGCCCAATCTAACTACTGTAATTATCAGAACAAACAATTTAGAACATACTTATAACTTAGATCTTTTTCAAAACTAAACAAAAGTTACTGTTTCAAATATAGTTTCCAACTGATGGAAAATATCATCATAACATGAAAATAAGAAACTTGATAATACAATAATAAACTGTATTTATATATTTATACACACATATACAGGGTTTTCCAAAAAGAATGCTACCATTTTAAATTATTGTAATTATGTTAACAGGTTGTTCAATAAGTTTTGTTGTTCCATAAGAGGTGGCACTATTAGGAGCCTCACTTTATTACTCTATAAATAGTACTACTATTTCATAAACACGTGTCAAGTTTCAAGTAGATCTGTCAACTCATTGTATATTTGCAGCTGTTCAAAGTCCACGTGTCATTGTATTTTTTTACAATGGAAAAAATCGAATATCCTGCAGTGATAAAATTCTTATTTTCGGAAGGTGTAGCACCAAAACAAATTCATGAACAATTGTTAAAAGTGTATAAGGACTCTTCACCTTCAATCAGAACAGTAGAAAGATGAGTTGCTGAATTTAAACATGGTCGTACGAGTCTTGAAGACGATCCACGTGAAGGGTGTCCAAAAAGTGCATCAACACCAGAAATCATAGCAAAAATACAGCATATGGTTTTGGAAGATCGTCGATTAACTGAGAGAGATTTAGTAGAAGCCCTAGGGATTTCGTTAGGCAGTGTGAGCAATATTTTGGCTGAAGTTTTGGGTTACAGAAAGCTGTGTGCACAATGGGTGCTTGCATTCGCTAACTATTCGGAACAAAAACACATTCGAATGCAACTTTCTCAGCAACATTTGGAGCGTTTTAGAAAGAATAAAAAGGATTTTGTGCGTCGTTTCATCACTATGGATGAGACATGGGTCTACCACCATGATCCTGAATCAAAACAAGATGCTAAGGAGTGGTGTGAACCCGCTACTTCGGCTCCGAAGCGTGTTAGGGTCCAGAAATCGGCCAAGAAGGTGTTAGCATCAGTTTTTTGGGATGCAAAAGGAATTTTGTTTGTGGATTACCTCCAAACTGGTAAAACAATAAACTCAGATTATTATTGTAACCTTTAGGATCAGCTAGATGTAAAAATTTGTGAGAAAAGACCTGGTTTAAAAAAGAAAAAAATCATTTTTCATCAAGACAACGCCCCCTCTCACACAGCTCAAAAAACCATTGCGAAAATCAGTAAATTAAAATACGAATTGTTGCAACATCCTCCCTATTCGCCAGATTTAGCTCCCTCTGACTTCTGGCTGTTCTCACATCTAAACAAATTCATGCGTGGGAAACAATTTTCATCGAACAAAGAGGTAATAGCAGCCATGGAAGCATATTTCGACAGTCTTCCGGATTCTCACTTTAGGGATGGAATCCATAAATTAGAAGATCACTGGAACAAGTGTATTGAAGTTCAGGAAGATTACATTGAATAATAAAATGTATTTCAAACCATAAAATCGTGATTTTCTTATTGAATGACAAAACTTATTGAACAACCTGGTAATTATTATCTGAGTGTAACATTAAAGTATCAAAAAACTGTTCAAGTTTCACATTTGGCTACTACAATTTCTCAATATGAGCATATCATATCACACAGTAAGTATCTAACCAACACTCAAATTCTTCCTAAGCTTGCTACTGCACATCTGTTATCACTCCTCCACAGTAGCCATAATTCCACAGTTCCTGCAGATTAATTATGTTGCACAATGACAAGCAATTCCAACTTTGCAAACTGCAGAAGACAAGACACTTTATTGTGGAGTTGCCATTTTCATCTATGGTGCCTCCTAGAGTTAGTAGATAACAAGACATTTGAATGCAGATGGAAGATGAAACTCAGATAGTTATTCTACTGATTGGCATACAGTGCATACTTCTCAGATAAGAATTAACATTATTATAATTTAAAATCATAGCATTTTTTCAGAAGATCCTGTACAGGTATACCCCGCCTTATGTTGGTAATTGGTTCCAGGAAAACGACGTAAGTCGAAAAACGACTTAAGTCGAATTTACTTGTCTCCGAATCTACTTGTCACTAGGCTAAACCATAAATTACCATTTCCGGTTCTGTATTTTATTTATTAATGCATTTTAATAATATATAATTAATAAGGATATATTTTAAGCTTACAAACAAATAAATTTTAGTTTTTAATATAGTACAGAAAAAAGTAATCTAAATTTACGAATGCATGTACTGTAAATACAATACACACTTGTAAATGTATATATTTTCATATGATTTTATGTGCTTTAAACGCTTTTCTAGTGATATTACGTCTTCAATATTTGTGGCGGACAGACGTAAAGTCGAATAAAATGACTTAAACTTGATTTTCATTTTTCCATATACTTTTTTGACAAACGACGTATAATCGGGAACGACGTAACTCGAAACGACGTAAGTCGAGGTATACCTGTATATGTAGGGAATTCTTACTACAAATATATTCAGAAATTTCTTTGAGAACCTCGAAAACCTCAACATTTCAAAGATTCGCTGTAATTTATATGAAGAGGCCATATTTAAAAAATCTGATGTTTAGGTTTTAATAAAATGTCATATCTAAACAAACAATTATAATTTATATATTGTTTTAATATCAAAAGGTGACCAGATTTATACTACAACAAAATAGTTTTAAGTTATATTCACAATGACAGATTTTTTTTGCAGTAGCAAAGGAGTTTTTTTGAGAAAGTTAAAATCTGGAGATATGTCAAATACATACTGTCGTCCTTCAAAAACAAAGAGTTTATTAAATAATGATTTACAAAGTTTCATACAACCCTTCTAACTTCAAAGAAACGTTTCAGATAATAAACTTGTCCCAGTGTCATGGCAACCAGCACCAGTGCTTCAAAGAAGGCCCACATCACAACTCTAGAGTTTGTGCTTTCATTAACTGAAAAACAGAATTAGTTTAAAATTGCATTCTATGCACTAAATTTGAAAATGCAGGCATACTTACTGGAACGATGAATGCGGTCTCTGACAGCCATGTATTCTTGTTCATGTTTCACAGATGTCAGGGCAACAGCCAACTCTTTGATCATGTCCTCCAATTTATTTTGATGAGCTAAATAAAATTAGGATTTCAACAACCGATTACAATAAATGTGTATGCATTTGTACAAATTTCTACCAACCTTCGGTCTCTAGTTCTTTCTCTTTGGGTGCCTCTCCAACATCCATGGAAAACATAACAATTTTTGGTGTCATCGTAGACATTGCATTGCTGAAACAGTAAGTGTACACTCCATCCATATGAGCAGCAAATGTATATTTTCCATTGCTCTCCCTTTCTCCTTGATAAATTACTTTGTTGTCTGGACCCGTTATCTGAAACATAACAATATAACATTAATAATTTTTAATAGTACTGATTGGTTGACATAAATATAAATAAATTCTATTATTATGAAAAAGTATGCATTTTGCAACTTATAAAAATGTTCATATTAGGGTTTCTCATTTCCCGGTCTTTTGCTTGTCCCGGGATCCCGGGATAAAAGTGAACTGTTTCCCGGGATCCCGGGATAGAATTAATTATTTCTAAGATATACAAAATATCTTGAAATCAAATGATATAATTATTTTTCATTTTTTAAAGTAATTTTAAAGTTCTGTAACCTCCAAAATCATATTAATAATGCTGTGTAAGGTCTATAGGCCTATAATAAAAATTACCTTTAAATAACGTAGAAATTTTCACAAATAGAAAAAAATTAATTAAAGTTTGCTGGAAACTGCATACAACAACAACAAAAAAAATGTTTTGAATTGAGTTAAAAATTAAAAAAATGAACTTCTAATTTAGAAGGTAATTTTCGTTTTTTAAATAAAATATAATACAAAATATTGCAAACTTTTATAAGATTTTAAAAAGCAAAGATGGTCAATACTCCGATAACTCACTCTAATTCTTATTTTAGTAATGAAAAGTCTTGCCACCG